CTACCCGCTCTCCCTCTCAAAGTCTCAAAGTCCAAGGGCACCAGGAGAATGACTCAGAAGATCTTCTCAGTCCAGACCAGAGCTTCGTACATGTAGGGAGGACTGAGCTGAATGAGGGCTCACATCCATCCAGCAGCTAATCCTAAGGATCACAGAAACATAAATGCAGCGTCCTCGAAGTGAAACTCCTCTTGGAGTGTGGATGCCCAGTCATGCACAGTCCACTTGAAGCAGGAAGGAAAGTTTATTTGAGGATGTTAAGGTCAAGCTAACTTATTTTTAAATTGTCATAGGAGGCCATTCGTCCTCACTTCACGTCTTCCACTTCAAAGCCTACTTTCCATCATCCAGATATTTATCCTTAGAGCGATTAAGTCCACTTTTATCTTTTCCACGCCTTCATTAGCTGCATTTTTTCCCCTCTTTTTAGCTTACAAAAGGGAAGATTTTTTTAGTCCAAATGCCAATATGTCAAAAATTAAATATTTATTCCCATGCAACACACAATGTGTATAATTACATACTCTATTGTAACAAATGTAATGTTATTTAATTTGTGTTTCCAAACTTGCACATAATGGGCTGACCAGATATCAAGAGTACTTTATGCAGAGAGCTTAGAGTATTCCACTTAGTTGAGGCCTTTGTTAGACAAAATGTAATGCTGCAGACTTTACAACATAAGGACATTTTTTTCCCAGAGGAGCTACAAGCTTCTTTGCCAAGAAAACAAGAGAGCCCAGCCAGCATGGCTCAGTGGTTGAGCATCAACCAATGAACCAGGAGATCACAGTTCAATTCTCCGTCAGGGCACACGCCTGGGTTGCAGGCTGGATCCCCAGTGTGGGGCGAGCAGGAGGCCGCCGATCCGTGATTCTCCCTCATCATGATGTTTCTATCGCTCTCTCCCTCTCTCTTCCTCTCTGAAATCAATAAAAATATTTTCTTAAAAAAAAGTAAACAAGAGACATGCAAGAGTCCCAAGTGGCTCTTTCATGGCTGGACAGGCTATGATGCCTCTGTGGTATCAACCAGGAAGCCGAGGTGTGCAGGCTGAGGGGCAAGCTCCTTCCTGCCCCACAGGGATGCTGAGGAAACCAGGGATGTTGGGATAGGCTGCCCACAGCTTCAAGGCTCCCGGGAACCCCAGACTTTCTGAAAGCCGTTGCCAATTTGCTGAGGGTTAAGTAGTAAGTGGTTCAGAACTGCATAGGTAGAGCGTGGGATGGTGAGGGGCCAGAACGACGAGGATGGCTAGTCCTGCTCTCTGCCTTCTCGCTGTCCAGGCATCGCAGAGCCCAAGTAGCGCGACGCCGTGCTGGGGGGTTCGAGATCTGGTTATTTGTACCTCAAACAGGTCCGAGGGAACCTTTCTGAAATGTTGTTTTTTGGAACTAAAAATGCCTTGTCGTGCTTCTTATGGCTGTTTCAACCTGTTTCTTTCAGATACCATTGTTCTTATCGCTTCAATAGCAGTTGTTTCTGCAAAAACTCAGGGTAATATTTTTGCCACGTCCGCACTCAGAAGTCTCCGTTTCCTACAGATCCTCCGTATGGTGCGCATGGACCGAAGGGGAGGCACTTGGAAATTACTAGGTTCTGTGGTTTATGCTCACAGCAAGGTAAGATTTACTTTCTGACTCATAGAACAAGATTTTTTAAACTCTTGCATTGGTTGCCGAAATACTTGATAAGCTTGTCATTAGCGAACTTAGTCATTTCAGAAATTGGCCAAAGTAATTTAGAGACACAGTATATAATGGATTGTTTAAAAATCATCATAAGTACCCAAGAAGTAGTCAAATGAATGGAATCGTGCATAGATAGATTTGTTTTCCTTTTTCAAAGATTGTTTTCACTTCTAAAAATCTTTCATTCCTTTTTTACCTAGGAATTAATCACAGCTTGGTACATAGGATTTTTGGTTCTTATTTTTTCATCTTTCCTTGTCTACCTGGTGGAAAAGGATGCCAACAAAGAGTTTTCTACATACGCAGATGCTCTGTGGTGGGGCACAGTAAGTATAAAAATCTGTTTTTATTTATTAGATGTTGTGAAATATTTTCCCCTTTCAATACAGTGTAGTGTAATGATTCTGATGAAAATTTTCAATAAAATATTAACTCCCAAAAGAGAGTTATGTAAAAATGTGCTGTACTTATAATTGTCTAAAGAGTTTCTCCCCCCATCCCCTTTGGCTCAGCAAAGTTAACTTCTCCTATAAATCATTAATCATAATTCTTGAGTGCTAGATTGTTGCCAAAATAAAAGCATATCAATTGTAACTGTGATTAAAATGTTTATAAGCTCATTTGTTTGGTTTAGCTTTATGGAGCATAGATTTAAATTACCAAGTGCTACACTGGTTTGTCATTCATCAAAATGATGTAAAGAATAAAGGAATGGTAGCTGAACAAAAGTTATAAAGGTGAAATTATGGCACAAAAAGTGAAAAAGAGAAGATTGGTAACCATCTGTGAGATCAGAGATTATAAACACCTGATTTCAAAACTTTCCATTCAAAAACCTACTTTCCCTTTATATTTTTACTAATGGCTAGTTTTAACCAAATCAAAGTAATCATGACTCTCATACAGAAAGAAAATAAACATGTGCTAAATATTTTAACTGATTTTTTTTTATCATTTGAGTAAGTACTAGTATTCATGATGGCACCAGTAAGATGTCAAAAGCAGTTCGAAGGACTACCTAAAGAACAAAAACATATCAAGATCAGGAATGAAGGTGCAAAGAGCTGTGGTACATTTACACAATGGGATATTATGTGGCCATAATAAATAAGGAACTCTTACCTTTTGTGACAGCATGGATGGACCTAGAGAGTATTATACTAAGTGAAATAGGCCAGTCAGAGAAAGACAAGTACAATATGATTTCAATTATATGTGGAATCTAATGAACAAAATAAACTAACAAACAACGTAGAAAGAAACTTATAGATATAGAAAACAGACTAACTGCTGTCTGAGTGGAATGGTTTAGGGGACTGGGTGAAAAAGGTGAAGGTGTAACCAGACAATCAATGGCTCTGTGCTGCCTGTCACTACTTGAGCCAATTAAGCAGAGACAGGGTTGAAACATTATGCGTGTTTATTCCAATACTGCCAGCAATATGGGAGAGCAGCAGGTCATCCAAAAAAAGTCTGCTCTGCACCCCACCATAAGCCAGCTGCTTATATAGGGTAAAAGGACAAACGATTACATGGGGAAGTAACCGAAAGTTGTGCCACATGGGCAGTCAACAGATAAGTAGAGAGCTGGGGATCTTCAAAGGGATGCAAAAGGGAAGGGGTCTTCAAAGGGCTTAGTGATATGCAAAGGCTGGGAGGGAGTCTTCAAAGGGCTTAGTGATATGCAAAGGCTGGGGGAGGGGGTCTTCAAAGAGCTGTCGATTCTGCGGCAAAGTTGTTCATCTTCCCATGATAATAGGCAGCTCCAAATGCGGAGGATGGGCTGCATTTTTAGGTGAGCTCCCATGTCCCATGTGGGTAACTGCCAGCCAGGTTAGAATGTGCCTTCTTTAATCAGAATAAAACAATCCCGGTAAACAGAGCATGATTAATATTTCTTACAATTCTAGCTGGTTCCCCAACGTTCTGTTTCTGTCCCTGTCAAAGGGATAAACAAGACAAAACAAAAATGATACACAGACAACAGTACGGTGATTACCAGAGGGGAAGGGGTTGGAGGGAGGTAGAAGAAGCTAAAGGAGGGATAAATGGTGATGGAAGGATTCTTGACTTGGGATGGTGAACACATGATGTAATATACAGATGATATATTACAGTATTGTACACCTGAAATCTGTATAATTTTGTTAACCAATGTTAGCCTAATAAATTCAATACAAATTTCAAATGTTTTAAATTATTTTTATTGTTGACACTATTGCAGATGTCCCCATTTTCCCCTTACCCACTTCTACCCAGCCCCCACCAACTGTTCCCTCTGACCATCACCACACTGTTGTCTGCAGTATGGTGATGGCCAGAGGGAAGGGGTGGTGGGGGCTGGGTGGAAGTGGGAATCTATGGGTTATGGATATATGTGCTTTGGCTGCTCCCTTCAGTTTCTTTCATCCAGTCCCTCACCTGTGACATGCTGTCACAAAAGGTAAGAGTTCCTTCTTTGTTACAGCTGCATAGTATCCCATTGTGTATCTGTCTCACAGCTTTATTATTCACTCATCTGCTAATGGGCACTTGGGTTGTTTCTGTATCTTGGCTATTGTTAATAATGCTGCTATGAACATAGAGGTGCATATATTCTCTTGAATTGGTGTTTCAGGATTCTTAGGATATATCCCTAGAGTGGGATTACTGCGTCAAAAGGCAGTTCCATTTTTAATTTTTTGAGGAACCTTCCTACTGTTTCCCACAGTGGCTGCACCACTGTGCATTCCCACCAGCAGTGCCCCACAGTGCTCTTTGCTCCACATCCTCGCCAGCACTTGTTGTTTGTTGATTTATTGATGGTAACCATTCTGGCAGGTGTGAGGTGATATCTCATTGTGATTTTAATTTGCATCTGTCTGATGATTAGTGACGTTAAGCATGTTTTTCATATGTCTGTATGTTGGCCATCTGTATGTCCTCTTAAATGAATGTACAAATAAAGGCAAATCTGGCTGCTTTGAACAGTGTGAGAGGAAAGTCAATTAAACTACCACTAGACAGAATTTATTTCCATGTCTATAGACAAGAATTATTTTGCATTGCTACCAATAATCTACAATCTGCAGAGCTGTAAAATAACTCAAAGGCCATGCAAGGTACAGAGCCCCATAAAATCACAATTCAATAACCTGGAAGGGGTACTCTAAACAATGCATAGTTTTCCATTGAAGCAAAATTTCCCTGCATTGTAAAGAATTTAAAAAACCGTCATTGACTAGAAAAGGCCTTAGAGGTCACGTAATCTTATCGCCTATTGAGGAATGTAAGGCCAACGCGACTTATTGCCTTATATTTTATAACTAGTAATGGCCAGGGCAACACTAACTCCCAAGGCTCTCTTTCTATGAAACTATTGACATTAACTAGATCTGAATCAGAAAAAGGTTATCAAGTTCAATGTTTGCAAATATGTTGATATTGCTATGCATTTAATAAATGTACTGCCTAAAAGGAAAAACAAATAAATGAATAAAATAAAATAAAAAATATTCATTGAAACAGGTTCCATTAATAAGAATGTCACAGGATAAAGAAGTGCTTTATTCAATTCATCAACTATATCCTTTTTATTTTATTCCTTAAGACATTCCAACAGAGTGTTATGTGAAAATACACAGCATTTATAATTATTTAAAGTGTCTCTCCATCTCTTTGGTCTAACAACGTTAAGTTCTCTTATAACTTTGGCTGGATTGTTGCCAAAATAAAAATAAATCATTTTCTTAAACTGTGATTAAAACATTGGCAAGTTGTTTGTTTTAACTTTGTGGAGCATAGGTTTATTACCAGTTGTTGCATTGTTCCCCAAAACCACATCACCAGGAACCAGAACTTTTGTCAAGGACAAAGGAAATTTGTCAGGGCTTATATTAAGCAGAACTTGGTATTTTTGTTGATTGTATAGCAGCAATAAAATGAGTAAGAATCAAAGATGTATTCACCTATAGATTAAGATCTTTTAAATTATCAGAGTAAATGTCTACAAGATTGCACCATTGACAACAAAGCGTTCCGTTGTTGTACTAATTTGTTTCCAACACCACTTCCTCCCACGCCCACCAGCAATAATGGTCATTTAGAAAGGAGGAAAATAGAAACCCCAAAAGAGAGAAGTCATCTGACATTCTTCAAACACTTCTTATTCAGAGGTGGGCAAAAGTAGGTTTACAGGTGTTCATGAGGAAAATACTACAATAATTAATAATTAATACAAGAATAAACTGTTTCATATGCTCACAACTGTAAACCTACTTATGCCCACCCCTGTATGTAGAGAGCAAATGAAAATCTATGACTCATGGTGGGATAAATTGTGTAAGGTGAGATAACAAAAGACTTTTCTAGTTAATGAGGGGAAGAGAATTTATAAACCCAGCCTTCAAAGCAATGACTTGAATTTAAGCTTAGTGTTTGCTTCTCTTTGATAATTCTAACTCCCAAGGCACTTGGGTGCTCCTCTTCCCATTGGGATGCCCTTGTTGGGGAGTTCAGCCTGGCAGCTCTGTCCCCTTTTTCCAGTGGTCTTCATTTCCCCCTTATTACTAACTACAGGCCCAGTGCATGAAATTCATGCACTATGGGGGGAGGAGGAGGGTATCCCTCAGCCCGGCCTGTGCCCTCTCACAGTCCGGGACCTCTCTCCTTACTGCCTGCCTGCTCGCTGCTACTTAGTGCTGCCATGGAGGCAGGAGAGGCTCCTGCCACCGCCACTGCGCTCACCAGCTGTGAGCCCAGCTTCTGGCTGAGCAGCGCTCCCCCCTAACTGCCCCTCCTGCTGGCCTGGTCATCCCAAACTGACCCCCACTGCCAACCTGGTCATCCCCAACTGCCCCCCTGCCAACCTGGTCACCCCACACAGCTTGCTGTTCGGTCATTACTGTGACAGTGTCCTGGACAATTTGCATATTCCTCTATTAGTATAGATAGGAATTGTTGTATTGTGTTAAATAGTATGTGGGAAACTCTTACTATATCTCTCACTTAGTCAACAGCTTGCTTCTTTTGCCAGAATAATCTGAGCAGCAGATTTTCAAAGATCATATCTGTGACTTTGGGGAAGGTGAGGGGAGCAACATATTTTCATCAATTTGCATTTCAATAGTGTTATTTTGACTGAAGTTTAACCTGTACTTAACAGGCTTCTTGAATGGTTGAATATGTCTCTTTTTTTTTTTTTTTTGAGAAAAAAATCTAGTCATGAATATAAGAATAAAAATCTTCTAAGGCATTAAGTTTCTAGGAGTAAAATGGCCTTTTGGTTCACAGTGGTTTGTTGATATTAACTGACTCATTAATGAAATTGTCTAAAGCCTAAAATAAT